AGTCAAGAATTTCAGAGCCAGCTGGCATGCAGAAGACCTCATAGGTTGTTGATGTAATTTTACTGTTGGAGGTCAACAGTGTCAAAGAGCTGGGAGTAATGTTTGTAGAATCTGAGGAGGAGGAGATGGATAGGAGTTTGTGTTCTCTGTGTTAATTATTCAGTCACCTAGGCTACAGCATGGGAACAGAAGACTTTCTAGGACTACCTTGGAGCAGGCCCAGATCTCACTTACACACTTCTTTTGTCAACTGAATATTGAGAAGGCGTCCACAGGCCCATACACTTATTAGACAATGGACGAAGATAGCTAACACCCTCAGAGACTACAGCTCTGTCTTAAGACTAGACCCACCCATACCACATCTCCACTGGATGCAATTACCAGATTTTCAGTGGCTCTACCACCAATTTCCTGTGGCTTGTGGCATGTTATTTCAATACTTTCTGTCTATTTTCATAACTGAGGTGTCAAGCATTGCATTGGGACATTTTATTAGAAGGCTTTTAAGGTACTTTATAGCCCAAAGATTATGTGTTTTTTGTTTTTTTTTTTTTTTGGTGAGGAAGATTGACCCTGAGGTAACAACTGTTGCCAGTCCTTCTCTTGTTACTTGAGGAAGACTGTTCCTGAGCTAACATCGGTGCCAGTCTTCCTCTATTTTGTATGTTTATATGTGGGATGCTGCCACAGCATGGCTTGACGAGCAGTGTGTAGGTCCACCCCCGGGATCCAAACCCATGAGCCCTGGACCACCAAAGCATAATGCACGAACTTAACCACTACACCACTGGACTGGCCCATGTATTTCTAATTAGACCCAATGGGTCAGAGCTACAAGGAGAGAGATACTGAGTTTCCTGGAAGGAAGAAACTTTATAACAGAGTCCAAAAGTAGAATGGGCTGCAATTCAAGAAAGAGTTAGGGACCACTTTGCAGGGATGCTACAGAGCGGATTCAAGCCTTGTTTGGAGAAGTGGGTGTAGCATGACCAAATAGTGTTTAAAATTCTTTCCACTCTGTGAGATTCATAGCCTTATGGACTGTGATTTGGAGGAAATCAATGGTGTAGTGCCAGGTAGGTCAATCTCATCTTAATGAGCATCATTTTCTTCAGCTATATAATGGGGTGTATAATAATCTGTTATACTTACTTTGTACAAGATTGTTATCAATCTTTGTAAGCAAATCACATGGGAGGGATTTTTTTATTTTATACTTTTATATTTTATGTTTTAATTTATTGTTATTTCATGTTATATATTATGTTATATATCTAATATTTATAAATGAATATGTACAATGTATATTCTATATTATTTTTTTTAGTTCATTGTTATTGTTAAGAACTCTGATAACTTCAGCCATATTACAGAAGTAGAATAAATATGAGAGAAGTAATAGTAACCCAGTGATTGTGCATTGGCTCTGCCATCATTTAGAGAAGTTGATCATTCAGGTGGGAAAAGTAGATTGGAGGCAACATTTACAGGTTGTTTTTTCTATCCCCAGTCTCTATTCCTAATCCAAACTGTACAGATGAGTCACAGTCCTACTTTTAGGAGATTCCTTCCATATCCGTCTTTGGAAACCTCAACCACTTCTGTCACTATCAAGTGTAATTTAAAACTTTCAAGTCATTATTCTGCTTCAAAAAAAAAAACAAATGTGTCATATGTACATATTTGTATGTGTTAGTATGTTATATGCTTTATGTGATCACACATACACATATATATACAAATATAATTCAGAAACCCTGTATGTGTGTGTACCCACTCACACACCTGTGCATTTACATATACATGGATACACACGTGTATAAGCATATTGTTTATGCATATGTTGCTTATGGCTTGCAATAACAATGCCTCTCTAACACTATATTAAGTGCCTTGATTTTTTTTTGTGAGGAAGATCAGCCCTGAGCTAACATCCGATGCCAATCCTCCTCTTTTTTTTTTTTTGCTGAGTGAAGATTGGCCCTGGGCTAATGTCCGTGCCCATCTTCCTCTACTTTATATGGGACGCCACCACAGCATGGCTTGACAGGCGGTGCGTCGGTGCACACCTGGGATCCGAACCCGTGACCCCTGAGCTGCCGAAGTGGAACACGGGCACTTAACCGCTGTGCCACTGGGCCAGCCCCCTTAAGTGCCTTGATTTTTTTGAAGGGCTTTAGAAAACAAAGAGAAGAAGCCACACGACTCCAGATATAAGAGACAATGTTACAGTAGGTTACTATCCTAAAAGGAGAGAGTAGAGGGAAAAGAGATTCTTATTTTGGTTAATTTCTTGCTTACCGGTAATACTTTTGCCCTTTATATGAAAGACTCTGCAAATATATTATGGATGAAATCCCGATATTCTTCAAGACTCCTAGAGCTGGAAAATATTTTAATAATTTTCTAATTCAGCCTATTTCATATTATCAGTGGGAACCAGGGAGGAAAAAGGACTTGTCCAAGGTCACATAGTGCATTAGTGATAAGACAGAACAAGGATTCAAATCTTGTGACTTCTATCCTAGTGCTCTCTCTGTTCTCTGAGACTTGAAGATTTTTGTTCAGCATAGATTTTCCTCTGTAACCTCAACACCTAGTACAGTGCCTGGCCCGTAATAGATGCTCAGTAAATGTTGAATTAATATGCAATAGCATTGGTTGTACTGTGCTTTGCACTTATTCCTGGGTAAACTCTAAAGGATATCTGTGTTTTCAGCCAAGAGACACTCTGGAACAAGGTATGAACTATAGTTAAGGAAATGATCCGAGTTACCAATTGAAAAAAACACTTTCATAATTTTTCCACTGTAACCGCCCTCATTCACAGGATGATTCGCTTTCAGAAGTGGAATCTAGAACTCCTCTGGGAGCCCTGTTCTGTTGGCTGTGCAACCATTCCTCGGCAAACTGGGGTTGAGGAGCTAGCATTTTCCTGTGGAAGAAGAGATTCCTCAAAGAAGTCAAGTACTCCTAACTTGACCTTATTTCACTAATCAATGTGATGAACTCGTTTTCGGATTGCAGCAGCACTGATACTGTGGGAGTGCCCCAGTTTTAGAACACCCATGGCACTGGAGATGAACCCACTGGAATTGGATACAGGGCCTGCCTTCTAGAAGTTGACAGCCAAAAGCTGAATGGCACTCATAGCACTATCCTTTCTGTGCACATTTTATGGTCCTCAGTTTGCAGCAAAAAAAAGCTGTTAGCAAATTATGTATTCTATTTATACAAATAAAATCCTGTGATATGGTAAAAAGAGTACTGGCCTAGAGGCCTTAGTTTTCTCATCTGTTATGTGAAAGTGATGATAGTACCTACCTCAAAGCACAGCTGAGGCAATTCATTTAAATAGCACATGTAAACCCCTTAACGCAGGCTTGGTTCATAGTAGATGCCTATTAAATGGTAGTTTTCTTCCTTCAGTGGCCTCCAATTCAGTGTTCTTCAGGCAAGTCACCTCCCCAGAACTCATTCTTGGAATGAAAGGGTTGTACTATGACAATGTTTAACAGTTCTTTCAAGCCCAGCATTTTGGAGTCCTTTGACAAAGGGAAGGGAAGAAGGGAGGGAAGGATGGAGGAAAAAAGGAAAGAAAAGAGGAAGGGGAGAAGGGAGGATATGAGGAAGGGAGGAAAAGAAAAGTTTTGCTGACCTGGTTACTACTGAATCTCCTACATCAATATAACCTACTATAATAGATGTGTTTTTCTGTGCCTGATCTATACATTTTAGGCTGAGTGAAGGGAGAGGAAAGCCAAGCTGTAGCTAAATTTATGTGATTTTTGTTTTCTGCTGTCAAATAGTATCAAAATAGTTTTTTTTTTTATTTTCTGCTCTTCATTTGTTTTCCTTTTCCCTACTACAGACATTCCTCTTCTGCCAAAAGAAGCCTCCCTAAAATCTCAGTCTATCCCATAAACTATAGCATAGCAGTAAATGAGGGAAAAAATACCAGGAACTTGAAGAAAGAAAGGGGTGGAGTGAGGGATGCACAAGCTCAGGCTGAGGCAGGGCTGCGAGCATGAGAAGTTCTGATGTTTCAGAGCAGCAGGGTATGTACCTCTATTTCTGCTGGTGACTCTGTATGCCTGTGGATCTCTCTGTTCCACTTGTGTATTCATTCAGCCTGTGTTTATTGAGGGACTGCTGTGTGCCAGGCCTGTGCTAGGAGCAAAGGGGCAAAGTATTTAGTAAAATATGTGTTTTTGAGTGGACCTACATGTCTTTCTTTGAGCAGCTGTGACTGAGAGGATCTCTGGGTCTGAGCATGTGTGTGTGTATGTTTGTGTGTATATGTTTCTGCGTATCTGTGAAAACTCCAAGTGTGCATGACAGCGATTGTTTTTCTTTCGCTAGCTTCAGAGGACTTCCTTTTACTTGCTGTGATTCACTTCACAAAGAGTGGGCTTTATCTCTGTTTGATTTCTATAACCTGCAGGACTTGGGGTATGATCACTAGCAATTTAAAAACAATTAGAAATCTCATGGAGTTCTCTTTTCTAGAAGTTTTACCTATATTTGTATTATGAAAAATAATCATCTTATTAGCTCTGGTATGATCCTATTCATGATTACAGGATTCAGAAGGAGGAAACATTGCCTGAGCCCAAGTCTCTGCTGTGCCATGCTAAAGGAGTGACAATTTGCACCATTGATCATTTTCTCATGGGCATTCTTGGCTTTTAGTAAAGGTAAAGCATCTTATTTAAAAAAAAAAAACAGCGAGTAGTCCATTTAATAAAGGAGGTATCAGCAGGACCTGAATTGTTCATCCCTATGAAAAACACCTGTGAAAACCAAACACTATACTATCGAATTAAACCAGCCTGGTTTAGTAGGTAGAATCTGTGTGATCAAATTGTTTGAGGCTATTCTCTGTCCACTTCTCTCATCTGGCTCTTCATGCTCTTTCTGACTAGAAATACTCAAGGAGAGAGACTCTTCTGAAAACACATTAACAGGGCTGTCTACTCTTATATTTGTTCTCCCAGGGAAACAGAAGTACCTGTGTGCCAGCAGAAATGATTGCACCATCGATAAATTCCGAAGGAAAAATTGTCCATCTTGTCGCCTCCGGAAATGTTATGAAGCAGGGATGACTCTGGGAGGTATGATACTTTTCTTCCTCTTACTCCTTCTCCCTCTACTTCCCTCATTTTCTCATTCTCTCTTTAAACCAGATTTCCTTCTTTGATGCTTCCAAGGAGGCCAGCCATGCTCTAGATACAGGCTAACCCCTTCATATCCAATGTGGCCATCAGCCAGCTGGTGACTTTCTTTATCTTTAACCAAGCCACACCCCTCTCGGGGGCTTAGCATAGGAATAGGAGGTGTGAAGCAGAGATGAGGACCCATCTGAGGGTGAGTGAGTTTGGACTTGACTATAAAGGGTTCCCCAGGGGACGTAATGGTACTGGCCTTATGTTGTTAAATGGTGGCTAAGATGAGAGAACTAAGGAATCCAGAACAGTCATAGGTGCAGGATGACCCACACATAGGCTGGTACTGAACACAGAGCAATATCCCTCAGTTAACTGTTGCCTATGTTGTAGTGCTGGCCACCTGGAATGAGATGCTACTTGTCTTTGGAGCCTATGCCTAGGCTGCCAAGCAGAGCCAATTTCCTATCCCATATCTCCCAGGGATGAGCAGGCCTTTTAATCATTTCCTTTTCTTTCCAAATCTATTGATGATTTCCAAAAGCATTTTTTTTCGGTAGCACAGTAGCTTGACAGAAGGAAGATACAACTGTTTCAAGGGCAACCCGCATCATACGGCTCTCTGTCCCCTAGTCTGTGTCTACCATGAGTGTTGTCACCATTCCAGAAAGGCTTGGCTGACACTTATATTTTCCTCCTCCAAATTCCTCATTTCTTCATGTTTACATCTGTTCAGTGCCAGGGTCCTCCCTGCTGCCTGCTGCTTCCAAAAAGATGCACCTTTCATGAGAAAAGCTAGCTCATTAGTCTACTTTGATTTGGAGATGGAACTTGAAGAAAGACAAGCCTATTTCTAAATGCCTGAAACTGTAGCCTCATACCTGATTACTCATTATCACCATGGAAAACCCAAATGCCTAGAATTCTGCCCTCTTCCCTCACCCTCTCAAGGCTAATTTAGAACACTTGTCCATCTCTGGCTTTCTGCGAAGTGCTCAATACCTTGTCTGCCTATGTGCATATTTATAGAAGCCAACTTGTTTTCTAACTGTGTGTGAGTCTTCATACGGATAACTGTATCCTGCCCTCCTCAAAGGCCAGTACTAGTCTTTAAATAGACCAAAGTACTACAAATGAATTGACCCAGGCTCAATTTGAGACAGTTTCAACAGAAGCATCTCAAGTAGTGTCTAATACACCTAGACATCGCGAGCAGATGCTCTGTGAGTGGTTTTCCAGGCAGCCACATCAAATGAGACTCAAATATCTGAGAAAAACAAACCTTGTTCTTGTTTGCTTGGCTTACTCCAGACAAATCCTACAATTGTGGTCTACAGTGGAGAGGAAGAAGCAGGACTGGAGTAGGAGAATGCAGAAGGAAAGCCAGGAAAGGTGACAAAGAGACTGACAAAAGGAAATTTTCTCCATATGAATGCTGTGACCCCATGTTGAGGGTTCTGATATACTCAACACTCAATTATTTAGCCCTCTGGGAATTATATGTAAGAGAGGGGGGCTCCCAAGTAGGGAATCCCTTGGTTTTCCATCTGCTGACATGAATTGCAAGCCTGCTTTGACACAGGTAAAGTTTAATGGTAACAAAAGTCCTCATAACATTTGGGTCTAAATATTAAAATTAGTTTTATCTCTCAGCCAACATCCTCCGTTATAAAGCAGTCTGTGACATGATTACAGTGAACCCCTTTTGAAAAGGAGTCTGTGTATAACAGATAATTTCACTACTCCATATAACAGTCAGGCATAAATCTGTAAATTAATTTCTTGGAGAGAGTAGTACAGTTTTCAAATTGATTTATTGGATAGAGTGCTCAAATTTGAATGGGCTTGGTCAAAACAATGAAAAGAAGCTGAAAAGTGCTGTGGCTGGCTTTCCTTTCAGTTCCGTTTCTATGATATTTATCGAATGTCTGCTGTGTACAAGGCACCAGGATCAGCAATAGAGCTTCAGGCTGGCAAACTTCAAGAAATGTCTACGAGATACAAGGATTCTTGATGTTGTGTAAATGATGTTGCCTTTGGAGTCAGGCAGACCTGGGTTAAAGGCCCAGCTCTATTATTTACTTTGCCCCTCCCCACAAGCCTCAATTTCTTCATCAGTAATTTGGAGATACCACTCTCATAGTTCTGTAATGGTGATCAGATGACATGATGAATATGGACATCCTTCATAAATGACAAAGTGCCAGACAAATGTGAGGGCTTATTATGACAATGTGGTCACTGGTAAGGCTGTTCACAGAACTTCCCAGCTGGCTTTTACCCTGAGTTATATGTAACAGCTGCAACAGACAGAGCATCACCAGAAATCACTCTAGTGATTCTGTACCAAAAGTACCATCAAGATCCTGTTTGGAAGCTGATTGTAATAATTAAGGGAATCATATATTATGTTCAAGTAACATGTCAATAAAAACCCAAATATTTACCCTCTTAGACACCATTGTTTGAAAAACAAACCTTTCCGTTTTGCTAAACTTATCTCCACATTCCCTGCTTCCCTGCTGCAAACCCTTCCCAAGTTTACTGTTAACTTGCAAATTCAGCATATACCACATCTTTATTCAAACAATGGAAAAAAGAAAGAAAGAAAGCATCAATTTAGAGTGGCCCTTCTGAGTACTTTAGCAATAGACTTCCCTTTTCATAAAATTTTGGTTTAGTATAGACATTTTGATCACCTTGAAGGAGAATTTATATAATTTTGTTTTATTCTTCATCACTCAACTCAAAATTGTGTAATATATTCTAAAATGACAACTATGAATGTGGCCTTGGGCAAGTCCCTTTGCCCCTCTGAAGCTCAGTTTTCCCGTCATAAAATTGGGATAGTGGGCTTCACTAAAGACCTTTCTGGCACTACCATTTTGTGGTTTTATGTCTAAAGTCACAGAGAAAGGATTGTTAAGTCTATCAGCCCTTTTTTGGATTGTCTATCCACTGTTCCCAGAAGTATAAATAGTCTAGACTTGAGTTCTTTGACTTGCATAGTAATTCTAGCTACCTCAAGTCACACCTAAATAAGATATATCATGTGTCTAAAGGTAGACTGGATAGATAGATTACTGAGGGAGTGGAGGGCAGAAAGGCTGTCTTTGTATCTTAAAGAAGATGGTACTCTGCAGCTGGTGGCTGCTTGGTCTTGAGGCCTCAAGATCTCTAATCTGGCTTTCTCTATAGTGTTAGAACTACTGTTTGGTGATGGGATCTCTTCAACTCAGATATACTTAAAACACATAACCTTTTCCTTCCTGCTTCTAGGCCTTTCTACCCGTTAATTGTTTCTTTTCTTAGCTGCTCTTGGTGTTTCTGAAAGGATTATGGAGGTGGTTGGATTCTCAGGGTGGTTCCCTTAAAGACTGCTTTCAACTGCTCATTCATGATAAGGATATGCCTTTCTTTGTACATGGTTCATTTTTGGCTGCTTTTGAAAAACCATATATTGCTAAGTGCTTCAAGAATCTAAACCCTTTGCCTACTTTTCATTTGAGAAAATACTTATAAATACAACTGTCCAGAGAAGGACCTTTCCTCTGGTGAATTAGCTGCAGCTTTTTCACAGCCCATAATTAGAATAAATGCACAGCCATCTCTTATTTTTCTCTGCACTTCCCAAGGATATACTCCCTGTTTCTAAGATGGAATGAGAAAGAAATAATTGCCCTTATCTGCCATCTCCTCCCCTGACCCTTCTCTCCTTCTCACTTTTCCTTTTATTCCTCACCAAACATTATTTCTTTTGTGTTTTAAAAACTTTTGAGTTCTTGGCTTTTAATAAATGGCATTGGCCCATGCTTATACCCTCCTCTCCTGTATCATGGGAGATGGTAGGCCTTTCAGGAATTTCAGGTAGCAGGCAAACCCCAGAAGAGGAGAATTAAACACCAAGCCCTGGAGCGCATGAGAATCTGGGGTGTGCCATATTTTCTTCACAAGTTACTCTAGCATATTTGAGAAGTCTCTTTTCTATTAGGAAACCTAACTCCACATCTGAGACTCAAAACTGTTAACAGATCTGCAGGTTTTAACAACCTTCATGATTCTATAAGTGGGCGAATGGCTAAGGGAGGCCCCAGCCGTGGTCCGATGTCGTCATGGACACTGTGAGCATCCTTGTGGTTTCCAGTGTTGAACACAGTCTTGATGCCTGCTCTTTCATCATTCTCCATGCTCCAGAGCAGCCCAGCATTGCTACTTCTGGATCACATGTCCTGGATGCAAGAGAGTGATTCCAGTGCTGAAATGCCATTCATGGCATGGTTCTTCAGGAGACAAGTTTCACAGCATTTATTCATTCATCTATCCATCCACCCTTCCAACCAGCCAACTAGCTAGTCCTTCCATCTTTCCATCTATTCCATCACCTATTTATTCACTTAGCAAATATTTATTGAGTGCCAACTATGTGCCAGACACTATGATAGGCATTTGGGGGGATCAGAGATGAATAAGGTATAACTCCTGCCCTCAAAAACTTAAACAAGAGGAGACAGACGGTGATAATGAATCACCTTAACCTTAAAGGATAAATAGGAAATGAGTGGAAAAAGCCGAGTAAGATAGAAGGGGAAGGGCATTCAATGCAAAGGGCACAGTTTGAATAAAGGCACAGAGACATTAAAAAAATGCATTGAGGGTTTGAGAGATAGCAAGTAGTTTAATATGGCCAGATCTCGGGAAATGGAGAGGGCAAGCTGAAACCACATTGAAAATGAACTTGGTTATTATGCTAAAAGTTTTGGACTTTAGGTGGTTGAAGATCTATGGCATGGGATAGACTTGTTCACATATCATTTTGTTTATTTGCATCTTTGGTTTTTTTAAAAGGGAATTAGTGGCAGCATGAATGTTGTATAGGCGAGGGCTTAAATTTTAGAAAAAGAGGTAGTAGGCCAAGTAGAGAGAGAGAGAGAGAGAAATTTCCAACATGA